CGGGGCGTTCTGATCCCCGTGAGAGCCGCACAACCGTGTTTCCTTATTTTGCCTAAGGCCCCATTCACACTGTGCGTAAAATCACGCTATTTCGCGCATTTTTGACACACGATATTGTTGAAGTCGCCGGAAAATGTTATTCAATGGAGCTGTTCTAATGTACAGCTCCATGTCGCCCATCGTTTCAGCAGGACCCTTTTTCCCCCGCGGATGTCGCACGATGTTTCTATTTTTGAATGCAGCCCGACGGTGAAGGCCCCGAACAGTCGCGCTATACCGTCCCCGCTTTTAAGGTATGTCGCTTGGTGTGAATTGGGGCCTAAGGCAGTGATGTTGAACGTTCCTTAAACCCGAGCGCCCGAACATCAATACAGTACTAAACTTATTTTCAGCGCTGGCACTTTGAGGTAAATAAATTGATTTTGCGTCGCAGTTTTGGCACTTCCGTTCAAAAAGGTTCGCCATCACTGGTCTAGGGGCTCCCCATAACTATTTGGTAAGATCTGGGGCTCATGGTCTCGCTTACCACATACGGCTTCATCCCCTGGTATCCAGTAACTCAGGAGAACAGCAAGAATACTTATTGTGTACAACTGTTTCTCTGTAACAACCAAAGAAATGTTGTGTAAACCTTCATGTATCAAGTAACAAAAGGACCAGAAACTGTATTTCTTTTTGTAGTTGTTTTTATTTTATTGTTTAATGCATGGCTGCAGAAATCCCAGAAGCCAGTTGCCAATGCTCCCTAGAAATGAAACATGGCACCTAGCTATTGAGGGTTTTCCCTAGCTGTTGTCAATGGAGCTGGCTACTAATAAATGCTGGTTCCTGGATTAGACAGACTGGCTCCTGAATTCTGTGTTCATTTGTCCAGCTTTGATGTTAAATTGTAATATTTGAATCAGATTCTATTCAAAAAAATAAATACTTTGCAGTCATTCATGCCCTGTATATGTTGCTTTAATATGAAATGGTAGGCTGGTCAGCAGCAAATATACATTACCAGTCATTGACCACTTCAGAAAAAAATAATTATATATATTCTTATCAGAGTGAAAATGTAATGAAAATCCATGGTCCAAACTGACACATTCATCAAGACCATTGATGCCGATGAACTAAAAATGCAAGAAACACACGACCCAGATATGTCATCACTTCTTCTTTCCAAGATGTCTGCCTATTTTATAATGCATGTGGCCACCTTAAAGTAAACCTGCCATACTGACCTCACTCACCAACACAAAGGCAAAAGATAAAGCTTGACTTTTACAGGGAAAGCTTAGATTTGCATATAACATCAGCGGTCTATATTTCCGGATAAGTTGGACATGTGGTTTTCAGCAAAGGTAACCTCTGCTTGTGTATTTGTTCCACCGTATGCTCAGTTTGACTTGGCAGGATTCCGCAGCCGGCAGCTGAATATCAACTACAGGCAGTGGGCAATGCAACAGCCAGCCTGCTATTGGCTATTTCAAGTTCTCCTTCAGGTCCTCTTGTCTGCTGATTGACACCAGGCAGTGGGTGGATGCAATAGCCATAAATATATATATATATATCTGTATGAAGGTATACCTGGTAGAATATTGGACTCTATTTTAATCTATAGGTTGAGAAAGGACAGCCATGGGAGCTTGCCTTCCCCTACTGCCACCCGTTTTCTCCCTACCTCTTGTCTTGGCTGAGTGGAGGGACTCCCCTAGATGCAAATCTGATCATCATCACAAATCTTATTTATGGTATTTATTTAATTATTTATTGATCTACGTAAGTAATTGTCATGTATGGTCAGTTGTTATTCCTAAGTATTTGATTGCTTAGAATCACATTCATATAGATTTCACAGGCTACCTCTACCAGCTTCCTGACGAAGCTATGGCAAAACGTGTCGAAGAATGGAAAAGTACAGAATTTGTGGATGAAATATGCAACAATATGATGCCTGTGGTACAATTAGACCCAGTGTGTGGCTCTCTGACTCACTTGCAGGGCGGCCAAGCGGATGGCGCCCCTGCGCCCCCAACATTTGTTCCCCTGTCCTGCCACTTGTACTAGCGGGCTCCCCTCCTCCTCTCCTTGCGCGCTGGCTCGGTCCCGCACCGGCGGTACTTCCGCCTCTGCCTTGCGCCCGACGCTGTTTGAAGACGAGCTTCCGGCGGCCGAGTCCACCTGCAATGGGAGAGGGGGGGGGCGGATGGATTGGACACGGTCATTGCTGGCGCCGGACCGAATCTCACTGGGCCACGGGCCCCCGCATGTTATGCCACTGGGTGACGGCCCCCCCATGCTACGCCACCAGGTGACGGGCCCCCCCTGGCCGCGGCCCTCGGGCAGTGCACTTCTTCGCTGGGCCCCCCAAGTGGCGGAACTACCAGGGCCCGGTCGCAGTTGCGACCGCTGCGACCCTGGTAGTTCCGCCAGTGGTTATTATGCATATTTATCTGTACGGGTTCCAAAGAGGTGGCATGCCGTTTATGTATTATTTTCTTGATTTTAAGATGATTGTGATATGTTTTTTGAAAATATATCTTGTTAATCATGAATTTACGTTATTAATAACAGGGGGATTCTTATTTTATTGGGGGTGGCAGGGAACAGTGCAGCCAGTATATGAGGCGGGCTCTATCTGAATGCTGCAGTTTCTAATGTACATTATGAGAACCTCACAGCGTGCAGTGAAATCAGAGTATCAATTCCAGTCCATGAAATGAGCCGGTACAACTGTGCTGAGGTTTAGCTTTCATTCTTACCTTTCCAGTGGGTGGTGAGTGAAATCTTCGCTCTCTGGAAGAGCTTCAGGTGGAGCTAATCCCAGTGTGCTGGATGCTTGGCTCCCACCCTACTTTACTACTAAAAAACGTGATGTAGCACCCACAGCGCCCAGCAGGGGACCAGCCATCCAACCCCCCTGAAGTGTTATGTAATATCTTCATCTGCAGCTCTTCCAGAGACCGAAAACTTCACTCGCCACCCACCGGAAAGGTAAGGTTTAAAGAAGAAACATTTTGTTAACCCTTGCATTGGGGCTACCCCGAAACCCGAAGGTTATACTCACCTAAACTGCGGAGCCTGGGCCCTGCTCCTTAATAAAGAGTATCTTCTTCCCACTGCACAGATGGAATGTTCCTCAGCGTCCTCACATCTTTACACTTGTATACAGTGTGATGACACAAGGATTCTTAGACCACTGCAGAGTAGGGGGGAGAGATGCTCCAGGGACCGGTCTAAGAACAAGCCAGGGGGGGAGAGGGTCCAGGGACCAGTCTAAGAACAAGCCGGGGGGAGAGAGGCTCCAGGACCAGGTCTAAGAACAAGCCGGGGGGAGAGATGCTCCAGGGACCGGTCTAAGAACAAGCCGGGGGGAGAGATGCTCCAGGGACCGGTCTAAGAACAAGCCGGGGGGAGAGATGCTCCAGGGACCGGTCTAAGAACAAGCCGGGGGGAGAGATGCTCCAGGGACCGGTCTAAGAACAAGCCGGGGGGAGAGATGCTCCAGGGACCGGTCTAAGAACAAGCCGGGGGGAGAGATGCTCCAGGGACCGGTCTAAGAACAAGCCGGGGGGAGAGATGCTCCAGGGACCGGTCTAAGAACAAGCCGGGGGGAGAGATGCTCCAGGGACCGGTCTAAGAACAAGCCGGGGGGAGAGATGCTCCAGGGACCGGTCTAAGAACAAGCCGGGGGGAGAGATGCTCCAGGGACCGGTCTAAGAACAAGCCGGGGGGAGAGATGCTCCAGGGACCGGTCTAAGAACAAGCCGGGGGGAGAGATGCTCCAGGGACCGGTCTAAGAACAAGCCGGGGGGAGAGATGCTCCAGGGACCGGTCTAAGAACAAGCCGGGGGGAGAGATGCTCCAGGGACCGGTCTAAGAACAAGCCGGGGGGAGAGATGCTCCAGGGACCGGTCTAAGAACAAGCCAGGGCGAGAGAGGCTCCAGGAACAGGTCTAAGAACAAGCCGGGGGGGAGAGAGGCTTCAGGGACAGGTCTAAGGGTGCCCATACACTTTACAACCCTCGCAAGACCTTTGTCTTGTGAGGGTTGTAAAGTACTTTAAAAAAACGTACGATCTGCCCATCTTGGACAGGCAGATCGTACTTGCGATCATCGTAAGCCCGCCCCCATGAGGGGCGGGCTTGCGATGACAGCAATGAGGGGCGTGCTTCCGATGACTGCAAACGGGCAGTATCCTACGATTCCCGGAGGGTTTTCCAGCCTGCTTGTTCGACAGAAGACGTGCGACCGTACAGTAGAAACGGTCGCACGCCTTCCATACACTGCACGATAATTGTACGATCGCGGGATTTTCCGCAATTCTCATACGAGAATCGGGCAGTGTATTGACACCTTAAGAACAAGCCGGCTGGAATGATCAGGTGAGTATAACTTTTTTAAGCACCAGGACACAATTGAGCAGTTAACCCGTGCAGTGCAGGGGTAGTCCCTTTGCGAGGGCTAATAAAAGCTTTCCCAGAGTTCTTCTTAAAACATTTTCTTTGACAGGCTGCTGATTGTTTTAGGTTTTATACTGCAGTGACGGAGTCACTTTTAGAGGAAACCTATGCAGACTGAAACATGGGGGCTGCCATCGCTGACCTCCCATTACAAATGCATAATTGGCATCAACACTTTCCGAATCCCTGACCCCAAACAAGCATACAGATCGGTGACCACAGTGTGAGGTGAGAGCTCCTGGTCTGCATACTTGCTCCCGATCGGAGAACACTGGATCAGCATGACAGACATGGAATGAGTATTTTCAGAACAGGAGCTCAGTGATGGTAGCTCCATACAGACTTCCTGTAAGTACATTGGCAGCATGCAAAAGGAAGGAGTGAAATTCTAAATATCTAAATTCAGAGGAATTGGGCCAATCAGTGGGCAGCAGCTGTGTCAGTTCCTCCACCACGCAGGACACAATAGATTCACAGAGATTTGTACATCATTATAATATGAATTAAGGCAAATCAATACAAGCTGGAACTTCCTTCTTCCAATCTCTAGACAGTCATGTTCCATGTCCCTGAGGAGTGATTATTAATATTCGGGTCCTTATAATACAGGTCCTCATGATGGTAGATGAACCAGTAAAATACTTTCCCCCCGAATAAAAACCTGCTTCATGTGGCGTGTGTACACCTTCTGATAATCGGTCTTCTCCTTCCGCCGTCTAGCCCTCTGCTTGGGTTTATCGCCAGAGATTCCCGATTGTCCTTGATCCTGGACGGCGGTGCTCCCGCCTGGTGCTAGGGAAGATCTGCTGTGATCTCTGATAGACGTCCTCCTGTCTGTGCCCGTCTCATGTGTAGAGGACTGTGACCCCGACTCCTGCAGCTTCAGTCTATCAAACAACTGCAAGACAAAGCAAAATAGAGATACACTGTCATAAAAGTCAAATGGAGCGGCAAGGATAGAGAACTGGCAAAAAATGACAATAGGTGAGGAGCAGACAAAAAGAAAGGGAACATTTTGGATGTGACAGTCCCATAGCATGTCTGAGGCTGGGCACGCTCTGACATTTCTCATGCACCCCACTTACACAGATGTACTAAGTATTGACGCTCCACTGCAGGCAAAACAGAGAAGTATAGCTGCCAAAGAATTTGTATTTCTCTCCTTTCAGTCCTGAGATTTGGGCAGAGTGGAACTGTGTCAGTGCATTGAGGAAGTACATCCTATGGACATCTTCTATCAGTTCATTTACAAACTTCTAGATGGATAAGGTCATTAGGAGCGGGAAACGACTTATGGAAATTGAATATAGAAATACAGATTTATTATATATATATTTTTTTTTTATTATTAAAAAGAAAAACACATTTTACATCTCTACAATACATGAACATTTCCCCGTGCTTTATTCCTTTAAAAACTCTGCAACTAGAGACAAATTCCTGTTATTAGGCCAGAAATGTACTCAGGTACTAAGTCCTGGAGGCTGACAGCACACAGAATGTTTGTGGACGCAGTGGTGTCAGCCCTGACCGGTTTTCCTTTGCTAAACCTCTTAATCGTGCTCCCTCTTCTCATGTCCACAAGATGAGCACTATCTGATCTGTACTCATAAGATAAGAACTGGGAGGGCTAGTCAGGCTCCTTGAGATGACATAGGAGGTACCGACAGGACACGCAGCAGCTTGGAATGTCTGACAAGATCAACGGGTTTTCTTTTTTTGAACTTGTTGCACAAATATAACTAAACACTTTCAATGGGATATAAAACTGACTAAAAGTCAGCAAACAAGCAATGTTCCCTGTTAGGGTTTGCATACACTTTAAGGAATACAGTGTTCTCTCTTCTGACTGGACAGCAAAAAAAAAAAAAAATTAGAGTCATGTACAAAACACCAAGAATTCTGAAGACGTCATCCCGAGTTCATTTTTTCCCCCTTTACATGCTTCCGTTTTTGTTCCAGGATTTGTTCTTTGCTGAGCTCTCTGGCAATCTCGGGGAGGGACTAATAGCAGCATGCTCCGCCCACTTGGTATCACTCACTGCATGCAATGTTGCTGTGGGTGGGGATAGGGGCGTGTCTGGGACTGCTCTATTGTAGAAGAGTGGCTGTATCTGGCGGTCACAGACATTCCCTGGTACCCTGCATGGCCTATCACAAGGGCACAATAGCGCACATGATTTCTAATATAAAGAACTGGGACTCAAAGCTAATAATTCAATTTTACAATATTATTCAGCATTAGAAATATAAAGAGAGGTTTAGGGGGGCTGCTACGGAGCCGCCTAATATACACACACAATTATAAAAGTAATGAGGGCCATACGCAGCTCCAATGTGGGCCAATTACTGCTGAATCAGCCAAACTTCAAGCCATGGGTGCTGCACCACCGGGCTCAACCATTCTCAAAACAGAAGGAGACGGGGGGGGGGATTGTTGGCTGAACAGTGACCACTTCCTATCAGTTGCAGTCACTGATGAGAATTCAGGCAGCCGAATACAATAGGCAGCAGAAGAGATCCCTCCATCAATGCTGTCTACTGTGAATGGGGGAATGGATTCATTTTCATGGGGCTGGAGGAGAGAAATCTACATTTACAGAGAGATGATACATTACCCGTGTCAGGGTCAGCTGGGGCTCATTGTAGAAAGCTTTCCCAAGCACAGGCTTCCTGTATGTCTCATCTACATCCACCATGGCCTGAAAAAGAAACAAGTCATCAAAAATAACCTTAAATGATGCAGTTTCATGTTTTCACCCTCCAATGGGAATATATTCACACATTGGGCTGACTTCTACTAACCTAAAGCAGCCCCAACCCTGTGGTGAAACTACAAATCTCATCATGCATCTGTCTCTGGGAGTCATGCGTGTGGTTATGAGAATCTTGCAATGCCTTATGGGATGTGTAGTTCCACCACAGATGGAGGGCTGGAGTTTTTCCACCCCGGGTTAAAGTGTATGTATGGTCATTTGGTTTTTTCTTGTTTTGCATAAAGTAAGCAGGGGTCAGCCATGTTTCTGTTGCTGTCTGGGCGGGCCAGGTCACTGACCTATTACAGCAGGAGGAGGAAAGATGGACACCAAAGACAGAGAAAGAGGCGAACCATGTGAGCACGGGTGTTTCCAGCTATGGATGGTCAAGAATAACAGTCAGGGAGGTATGGGGGTATCATTCACACTAACAGTGCGCTGTCACCTATCAGTACCTATGAAGCCTGTCTGGTAAATAAAACTCATCCAAATGTGTTTAGTGACCCCCCCCATACAAAAAAACCACCCAACCTTTAAAGTGTCCTATATGATGGGAGGCCTCCCAATCATGTGATCGCTGTGATTGCCCTGTCACATGATCAGGAGCCCATAACACCCAACCTTTAAAGTGTCCAATATGATGGGAGGCCTCCCAATCATGTGATCGCTGTGATTGCCCTGTCACATGATCAGGAGCCCATAACACCCAACCTTTAAAGTGTCCAATATGATGGGAGGCCTCCCAATCATGTGATCGCTGTGATTGCCCTGTCACATGATCAGGAGCCCATAACACCCAACCTTTAAAGTGTCCTATATGATGGGAGGCCTCCCAATCATGTGATCGCTGTGATCGCCCTGTCACATGATCCGGAGCCCATAACACCCAACCTTTATGGAGTCCTATATGATGGGAGGTGAATGCAGGCCTCCTGATCATGTGATTGCCTGTCACATGATCAGGAGCACATCCCACTGGCTCCCGATTGTAAACATTGACACATACACAGCTCAGTGGACAATTCCACTATCTGCCGGTTGCCAAGATGAATGAACTCCAGTGCAAATGCATGAGAGCTACATCATCCCAGCCGGGCCAGCCAAAATGGTCGCAGATCCTGAACACAATTCCACTTTAGGGCCTGCTCACATGAGTTTCAGGTCCTGATCAGCAGACTCTGTGCTATGTGTTTTGCTGCGTTTTTGATGCGTTCCAGTAAAAAAAAAAAATATAGATATATTTTTATTTTTTTTGCTGGAGTGGGGCTGTCAGTATGTTAGCTGCAGTGCGTTTTTGACGCGTTTTGCGTTTCCGGACCGTACAAAATGTGACATGCAGTATTTTTAGCCCATAAAATACATAGGGATACATTGGGATACATTTTTAGTGCAGGAGCGTACGGATCAGGTCAGCACAGAAAACGGACGTCGTGTGAACAGGCCCTTAAGTTCTTTATTGAACATCTGACCTCCAAGGACACAAAAAAAACAAGACCTCGTAGGGTAAATGATTATAAGTGAGTACCATGTTCCAAAATTTGTCAAAGGCGACCACGAATCCTGAGCACACGCCGCGCAGCCCCTTGAAGGTACGGATGTGAACGTTGACCTTTAGCCGTTCCTGCACGCAGCGATAGAGAACTTCCAGAGGACCGCCTTCATGTACTGCAATACAAATGATCACACCAGATTATAAATGACTGTGCACTGAGCTGTATTCATTACAGGGGGGTCATTATACAAAGATGAATGACCTGTACCCACCACACCTTGTGATGTATATACTGTATACCATGGTCATATTATTTATGATCTGCACTGTATATTAGCCTTCATCACCTACAAATCTCACCATCCTCATTCTACAAACATGGAGGCTGATGTACTACATAAAAGACAAGAGCAGGGAATAACATCCACCAGCATGTGTGAGTGAGCATGCACCATCCCCGTCCATCCATCCCACCCATGAACCCCAATAGCTGATCGTACACTGATGTCTATGAAAGCTGAACTCCAGCCTGGTCTTCAGTTGTACCGCCTCCTCTTCTGTATGGATATTGCTTACTCTGATTTCACTGCACACTGCATGCGTCTCCTACAATCTGCACCAATTCAGATAGAGCTCATCATCCACCTAAGGGGTGGGCAATTCATTTTCTCAAGGGGCCACGTGAGAAACTGGGATGGTTGTGGAGGGACGAATCAATGAATACATGGTACAGCGCAATGCACCGACCTACAGTGGCAGGTGCGTTGTGTTGCCATTCATTTGAAAGGTACCCAAACACAACTCCTGGCTGTAATGTGATTAAGTGCACCGTGCATTGTGGTGCGGCTGAGAAAGCAACGCATGCAGCGCACCTGCCGCACTGTAACGCATGGTTGGTGTGTTGCACATGGGACGTTGGCTGTGGAAACTTCCAGAAATCCTCGTGGCGATGTTTTCCCGCCAATATAACGATTTTTCCCGCCAAAAAAATGACAGTTAAATTCTCTTAAAGGGGCAAAAACTGAAATATATAAAACTTGGAAAAAACACCCAAAAATCACAAATAATAGTCCCCACATTCCCATGAAAATGGGCCTTTAATGGACGCCATTTTTTCATTCCCGCACGTTAGTCGCTGCTGGGTGGAAACTTCAAATACTATACAAGTGACCAGGCCACACCGGGAGCTGCAGGACGGGACAGAGGAGGACGTAATGGTCACACTTGGCACTGGTTATAGGACTGCCCAGCAGGCCTAGCAACCAATGACTGCAAAGGAGGAGAACCCCCTGATGTCATTGGTTGCTAGAATCACCCAGCATTCCTAGCAACCAATGACTGCAAAGGAGGAGAACCCCCTGATGTCATTGGTTGCTAGAATCACCCAGCATTCCTAGCAACCAATGACTGCAAAGGAGGAGAACCCCCTGATGTCATTGGTTGCTAGGATCACCCAGCATTCCTAGCAACCAATGACTGCTAAGAAGGTGGACCCACTGATGATATTGGTTGCTAGGATACCCAAGCATTCCCAGCAACTAATCACTGCAAAGGAGGAGAACCCCCTGATGTCATTGGTTGCTAGAATCACCCAGCATTCCTAGCAACCAATGACTGCAAAGGAGGAGAACCCCCTGATGTCATTGGTTGCTAGGATCACCCAGAATTCCTAGCAACTAATGACTGCTAAGAAGGAGGGCCCCCTGATGTCATTGGTTGCTAGGATCACCCAGAATTCCTAGCAACTAATGACTGCTAAGGAGGAGAACCCCCTGAGCAGACCATCATATTGCACCCATGTACATAACATGCATCACCCAGTGGGATGTGTACACGGGCCCTTATAGTGCATCACCAGGCAAAGCCTTTTCTTTAGCTTTGGAGGTAATCGGGGAGGGGTCAGACCCTCCCACAATATATTTTTGTTTGCTCTCTGTGTCCCCTGTGGGGAGATTCACCTCTCTATTTGTCCTGGTGACAACTGTCACTGAGAGGGAAATTCCAAATGTTAGAGTTGTCCCCAGAGCAGAGGAAATCTTCCGTCTCAGAGGGGACTTCCCCTCATTTTTGGAGATTTCCCCTAACTTTCTGTTGTGTCTCGAGGATAGGAAGTGAAGGCCAATTTCCCAATCATACATAGATAGCAATAAATAACCTAGCAGGTGTTTTAACCCTTAACTACTCTATCCAAAACTAAACAAAAAGTTTTAGCTATACATACACTTTAAAGCAGAACTCCGGGCAAAATAAAATGTTAGCCTTCGCATTGGGGCTTTCTGCGCACTGTAAGGGTTAAGTGCTGGTTTTGTCTCGGGAGCTCAAACAACAAAGATATGATCACCCGAACCGCGATCCCGGCTGGCTCCTAGACTGGTCCCCTCAGCCTCTCTCCCCCTACCCCTCCAGCGGTCTAAGGTCCCTGAGTCATCACATCTTATACAATGTATAGGACGTTAGGACACCGTGGGGCAATCCATCACTGGAGTGCAGGGGTTCAGGTGAGTATAACTTTGTTATTTTAGCTCCCTAGGGAAAACAAGCACTTAAAAGGAGAACTATGAGGTAAGTGCTTTTCACTCACCTCATAGTTCTAGCCGACCTGTGACAATGAGACTGTCACAGGTCGGCTCAGTAGATCGGGAGGTGAGCGAACACATACCGGCGTTCGCTCACCTCTCGATCCTGTCACGGCTCTCTGCCGTAACAGGGGCTGGATTCCCCTCTCCACGCTACGATCCTCCAGCGCTGACTGGTGGAACGGACGGGGGAGGGGGCGGGTACAGCTGGCTCTGCCTCTAGATAGGCAGAGTCAGCTGTCACTCACGCAGCTGGACGGATCCAGACATAATTGTCAGGATCCGCTTCAGCTGCGGCGTCTCAGTATACCGCGAGCAGCAGCTCTCGTTATACTGAGCTTAGGGTGATGGGAGGACGCTAGTTTGTGTCCTCCCGTTACCCTTCGGAGAACTATGGGGAAAAGCCCTAACCCCACAGTTCTCCTTTAACCCGTCACGTGCGCGGTAGCCCCAGTGCGGATTTGCCCGGAGTTCTCCTGTAATGGTGATTGATGTGGTGTTATTCCATAAGGTGCGCTGGATGCTGTTCAGAAGAAATGGCAGCAAAGTACATAACGCACTGGTGTGGGTGGGCCCGGATTGGCATTGCCCCCTTGCTGGTGGAAACACTGCCACACATTGCTGGTTTGGTTGGAGAAGGAGGCACATCATTGGAGGAGAAGAGAAATGGTCTCAGCCATCCCGCCACTCATACATTGTGTCACCGGCACAGCGAAAATCATGAGACATTCCAGGGGTCACATAGAAACCCTTCATCATGGCAGTGGTCCCACTGATAGTTCAACATTGTGCCGTCCGTTATGGCGTCAGGCTGAGAGGAGCACTCTGCATCACATGACTCTTCCAGAACCCATGAGATGAGCCTGAGAAGAATCCAGAATGAGCCTCTCGGCCAGACATGGAATATACGCTGTGGGGGGAATTTATCAAAACTGGAGCAGACAGAAACTGGAGCAGCTGTGCATGACAACCAATTAGCTTCTCTCTTCAGTTTGCTCAGTTGAGATTTGAAAATTAGAGAGAGAAGCTGATTGGTTGCCATGCACAGCTGCTCCAGATTTTGATAAATTCCCCCCACAATGTACAATGATGATATAAAAGAGAACCTGTCATGACACCAATACATGAGCTGCTACTACATGGCCTGTCTTGGCCTTCCTCCTCCACAGAGGACAACTGACCAGGAAGAAACATGGGCGATGGAAGCATTGACACTGATTACATGCTTCTTTCTGGTCAGGTGTGAAGACTGTAGAGGGGAAGCAGGGGGTTGAAGGACTCCGAGCTGACATCCAGGCTGTTGTCCGGCGCTTCGTCTTCATCCCCGGTCACCGGATCACCAGAGACGCCGGCCTGGGCCTGGCACGCCGGAGCGTCCCGTTCCATGAGTGAAATACCGCAAAGCGGACACTAGATGGCGGCATCGCACCATCACAGCGTATACAGGGGGGTTAAAGGGAAGTTTTCTGATAGACCTATAGAGGGCGCTGCTGTTCGCTGATCCGTCTGATAATACTAATCACCTGGCTGTCATACTGCTACTGTTCACTGATCAGTCAGATAACACTAATCACCTGGCTGTCATACTGCTACTGTTCACTACTCATTCTGGGAATACTCACTGCCTGGCTGTCATATCATTTCCATTCACCACTAATTCAGGGAATGTCGGCTGTCATGCTGACCTTCTGACTTTAATAGTTTGAGTCATGATTGTACAATTTTCTTTAGATCTTTTATCAGCTATGCAATGCAGGGGCGTGCCTGCCTGAAATATACTGTATGTATATGATTATATACTGTGTGTGTGTATTCCTCCTCCTCCACTACGTGAATAGAGTTCATGCAAAGTGCTAGTCACCTCCCTCCTCTGTGTAAAACACAATCACCATACAAAAATTGAGCTCACATCCTCCTGCATCAAGTAATGCGGGATGACATCACATGTGCTTTGTCCCGCCTAATGCATTTGTCTGGACGTCCTCAGGAGCAATCAAAGCAATGTGTGTCCATAGCAGCCAATATACCCCCATCATCCCTCAATTACCCAACAACCATTATTAGAGGGTTATTAAACCCTCAGCGGTTTTTGCATATTTGTATATAAGGCTAGCAAGCAGTAGATATATGCAAAAACATTTTTTTTTAAACTTTTTAAAAGGGTTTAAACTTACGTGTGTCTTCGCCATGCGCGCCCGTCCGAACATCTGAAGTGTCTCGGGCGGCCGCAAAGGATCTTGGGGCGGACGCATGCGCACTTCAGATGTTCGGCCGGTAGATGAGGAGAGACACAAGGTAAGTCTATGGAGCAGCGTGGACCCGCACAGACTCTGTGGGACATCAGAGAAGAGGAGGACAGAGGAGTCAGCGCTGGATCGGAGACCCACACCAGCGCTGGAGGGACAGCTGAAAAGGACAGGAAAGAAGAAGAAGATCGAATCAAGAGGCATGATTTAAGGTAAGTCCCTACAGCAGGATTGGGAAGGGGGGAAACAATGAATGTCACTTTAAGTATAAATGTCTAGCCCCCTCTAGAGGGCAAAAAGGATAATACATCACCTATCAAATTAGTTTAGTCCAGGGGTAGGCAACCTCCGCAACCGGCTGCGCTGAAACTTGTTCACTGATCAGTCAGATAACACTAATCACCTGGCTGTCATACTGCTACTGTTCACTACTCATTCTGGGAATACTCACTGCCTGGCTGTCATATCATTTCCATTCACCACTAATTCAGGGAATGTCGGCTGTCATGCTGACCTTCTGACTTTAATAGTTTGAGTCATGATTGTACAATTTTCTTTAGATCTTTTATCAGCTATGCAATGCAGGGGCGTGCCTGCCTGAAATATACTGTATGTATATGATTATATACTGTGTGTGTGTATTCCTCCTCCTCCACTACGTGAATAGAGTTCATGCAAAGTGCTAGTCACCTCCCTCCTCTGTGTAAAACACAATCACCATACAAAAATTGAGCTCACATCCTCCTGCATCAAGTAATGCGGGATGACATCACATGTGCTTTGTCCCGCCTAATGCATTTGTCTGGACGTCCTCAGGAGCAATCAAAGCAATGTGTGTCCATAGCAGCCAATATACCCCCATCATCCCTCAATTACCCAACAACCATTATTAGAGGGTTATTAAACCCTCAGCGGTTTTTGCATATTTGTATATAAGGCTAGCAAGCAGTAGATATATGCAAAAACATTTTTTTTTAAACTTTTTAAAAGGGTTTAAACTTACGTGTGTCTTCGCCATGCGCGCCCGTCCGAACATCTGAAGTGTCTCGGGCGGCCGCAAAGGATCTTGGGGCGGACGCATGCGCACTTCAGATGTTCGGCCGGTAGATGAGGAGAGACACAAGGTAAGTCTATGGAGCAGCGTGGACCCGCACAGACTCTGTGGGACATCAGAGAAGAGGAGGACAGAGGAGTCAGCGCTGGATCGGAGACCCACACCAGCGCTGGAGGGACAGCTGAAAAGGACAGGAAAGAAGAAGAAGATCGAATCAAGAGGCATGATTTAAGGTAAGTCCCTACAGCAGGATTGGGAAGGGGGGAAACAATGAATGTCACTTTAAGTATAAATGTCTAGCCCCCTCTAGAGGGCAAAAAGGATAATACATCACCTATCAAATTAGTTTAGTCCAGGGGTAGGCAACCTCCGCAACCGGCTGCGCTGAAACTACAAATCCCAACATGCTTCTGCCTCTCTGCCATACCTGTTACTGTCAAAGTCGTGCAATGCCTCATGGGACTTATAGTTCCAAAACAGTTGGAGTGCCAAGGCTGCCTACCCCAGTTTAGAATCATAAATACATAATACAATTACATAACACAATTCTAAAAATAAAACAATTAAGATCTATGTTCAGCCCTCCTAGATAATATATCTTCTTCCTTCCACTTGTATTCGGCAATCCCACCAGCACTGGTGTAGGTCTTTCATCCAGCGCAGACTCCTCTCTCCTTGTGTCCCATGGTGTCTGTCTGACCTGCACGCTCCTGGCTGCATGCATTCAGCTCCACTGTGTCTGTCCTCTTCTCCCCGCCAAAGATCTCTACTGCGCATGCGCCCGCCTCATCTCAAGCGGCCGTGCAGGATGAAGCTTCAGATCTTCAGACGGGAGCGAGCGGCGGAGACAAAGGTAAGTAATTACCCTTTTGGCAACTTTTTAATTGTTTTAAATGTTTTTGCATACAGTATATCTTCTGCTTGCTAGCAATAGATATATGCAATAAAACCTTTTAAGTTCATAAATCTATTTGGTTTCAACTTATGCACCCCAGCGCCATCGAGTGGCGGTAATTCTATGCAAAGGTCTTTCACCCAGCTATATGCTAGGTAGGGCTGCCACCTGTCTGGGATTCACCCAGACAGTCCAGGTTTAGAATCCTGTGAATCTCACGGACCAATTCATCATATCAGCGGCTCCAGGGCTCGGCATATAGCAGGCTATTGCCCACTTGGGTCACCAGAGGACATAGTAAATGTCCTCTGGTGACCCTAAAGAGAACTATGGCCAAAAATGTTTTTTTGTGTGTTTTTTTTGTCGGAGTTCTTCTTTAACTTTGGCACTGCTCACAGGCTAAAGTTCACCGACTGACTAAAATATACAATGCAAGTTGGGGCATACCTGCATACTTGCCGACCATTTTCAGCATCCCTAAAGCCTAGCTAAGAAACACCTACATTCTGTGTCCTGGATAGTTTTTGGAAGAGTTGTTGAACCCTGAGCAGCTGTTGGCTCTGCACCAGGCTTATTAATGTCAGCGGGGCTGTGACTTCTGGAGAGTAGGGAGTAAGAGGCTGCGGCTTCCGGTTCTGAAACCTGCAGGAGCGGGGATCAGGTAGGTAAAGGTGCTTTACCAAGGTACCTTAGACATAAGGGAGCATTTAACCCTTGCAGTAAAGGGGTAGCCCATTGCAAGGGGTGTTTTTTTTTCCAGATATAGGCTATAGGTTTAAAGATGTGTGTCATGCACATCACTAGTTGTAGTGTTATACAGGGAAGTCTGCAATGCCCTTTCTCCAGATGTAACTGAGATAAAAGAGCTGAGCATTGTGTGTGGTCATATGATGATCTGAAGGATGTGATGTGATGATATCAGCAACTTCTTCTGAAGTGATAAGCAATATTATTTACTGAGAACTGAGGGCAGAAAGGGCCACGGGAAGGTGAACTGAGGTCTATCAGACAAAGGAAAAATGATTGATCTGACTACAGTCCAGTGAAGTCTCATTGAATACTGCGTTATACATATACCGTAATCATCACGGCCCTTCACCCTGCTGTTCTGAATATTTCTTATGGCCTTAGCCTGGACATATGCTGTGTCAGTTATAAATGTTTTGGAAAAAAAGGGCACTTTTGTCCTAAAAAAAAAATGGTCAGTTATGTGAAAAAATTGATGGCGATCACAATTCCTATTGGTTTGTAACACACGCAGCAACATCTGATTGATTTGAAACGATCAACAAAAATCTACCAGAATCAGCATTTGCCGATCAGAGTCTGTGGAACGTTTGCCTCGATGGATGGCAATGCAAAGGCTTTCCTGTACCAATAACTGCAAATACTCAATCTGTTTTTATTGAATAGGTGATCGATCGAACAGGAAAATGGGCACACCATTAAAGTGACTCTGTCAATTTTTCCTGCCACTTTATAGCTTACCCCTGAAGACACTGATACTCATCTTTACAGTGCTCCCCTGCCACCCCTTCTTCTGTCGCGGCCACTGGGTAAGCGCCCCATCAGAGTGTCGGATCTAACATGGGGTTAATGATGTAACTCCTCTGTACGGCTATTTTGCAGTGGTTGTAGGAGTATATAGTGTATATATAGAGCGGCAGGGAGCGCGTCTGCAAAGGTGAGTATAAGTTGGTCAGGGATGGGCTTTAAAGTAGGGATGCACCGATACCATTTTTTTGGTATAGTGTATGAGTACGGATATTTTTTTTCTGGTACTCGCCGATGCCGAATACCAATACCGGAAGTCCCATTAATGAAACCAGTCGGTGTGTAATGACTCGCCACCTGGCTTCCTGATTAGCTGGGAAGCCGTCTCCATGCTCCCTTGTCTCCAGGTGGCAAGGAAGTATGGAGTCAGCTTTCTGGCCAATCAGGAAGCCAGGGTGCGGGTAATGACTCGCCCCACAGCTTCTTGATTGGCCGGGAAGCCAGCTCCATGCTCCCTGGTGACGAGGGAGCCGGCTTCCTGGGCCAAGGCGAGCCGCATGTGATGACTCCGTGTCCAGGCTTCCTGATACTGGAAGTTCCGGTATCGGGATGGGCATCGGGAGCACTGATCCTGATACTAGTAGTAATATTGATGCATCCCTACTTTAAAGCAAAAGTTCAGACAAAACTAACATGATAAAAATGAACAAGACAGACATCCCAACCTGCAAAACCTCATTTCAGGGAGGTGCCCTTTCTGTTTTTTGGTTGTTTTTTTACAGTGGCCGTCGTTAGATAATAAA